AAAAGCCCTAATCATGAAGAAAGAACTCACTATGGTTGAGAGAGTAAAAAGAATGCTTTTAATCCAAGCAAGACTCTGTTGTCTAGAAATATACAGAAAATGTATAAAAAGCATCAAAAGAATGCAATACTACTGCTAAAGCACTTCTGTTGAATTCTTAGCGGATATAGAATGTTTAGGCAGAAAAATATGGCCACCCCATGAACTGTTGCAGGAAGGAAGAATAAAAGCCAAACTAAAAAAGATGCTCAAAACTACAGAAAAAATTATTCTACTTAACTATGTCCAACAAGAGGTTATTGGACATGTTCCGTAGATGGTAGCATATCTTCAGAAGTGGTGTACACAGAAAAGCATTTCTACTTCTAAAACATTTTTTTCCCTAATTAAATATCTTTTAAACTTTGCTTTGATGCTGAAAATTTCAAACTCAGTTGAAATAAAAGGAAATACGGGAATTGCAGGACAAAAACGTATCTCAAGTAGTAGAGTAATAATTAGTTACTTCTTGATCACTAAATAGCATATCGCTTTCAAAATATGAAGCATTCATTAATAAGACAACTCTTTGTAGTTACTAGTCAATTTTGTAATTAAGAGTTACGTTAACTCCACTTCAAAACAAAAGTATGAGCATAAAAATTACACTATTCTATGTTAAATCATCATCTCTGATGTGTAATTGACAGGGAAAAAAACAGGAGAGAAGTAAGGTAAGCAAATCTTTTATAGTCATGAGTGCAAATCCTACAGAACAAACCATTTAAAAGCAGAAGTGTGAATAGTTTAATTAAGGAGACATAGCCTGAACATCTGGCACTCACAAGAAAGGGTGAAAAAGTTGTTCACTGATGAGAGGAAGGTTTTTATGGTTTTCAAAAAACACAAAAGGCTTTCTATGTTTCCAAGATAAGTAAGCATGCTATGCTTCATCTGAATAATAACAGAATAATCAAGCCTCAGGTTGGACTGTTTAATAATCAATCCATTAATGCCCAATTTGGGGCCAGTACTGGGAAAGATGTAAGGAAAGACACATTGTGCAGACCAACCCAAACTGCATTTAAGTGAAAGCTTCTTTAATATCAAGTTGGTTTTATATTTTTTGTTTTAGTAACATACAGTTTAATATTGATACTCTTCTGCCATGCCAAACAACACTACTGTTGAACTTGTTTTTATGTTGTTTCTTCTCAACAGCATGAAAGAATTCCAGGTGAAGATGAGGTACTAAGAGTAAGAAAGCTGCTTGTGTAGCTACACAATCACTCTTTTCTCCCTCTCGTAGGCTTCTTCAGCAGAAATCATAACAACAAGAGCAGCTTTTAATACCGTTTTCAAATGGGGCAGGCACAGATGACTCCAATTTGATGTCATCTTGGTCATGATGTGTGTGATTAGCAGCCAAACTGGCCCACTGTGATACCCAACGTTTACTTCCAGCGGCAGGAGAACCTTCCTAAGGAAGAAAAGAAGCAGAGGAAAAATTACAAGTGTTTGATAAAAAGCATGTCCTCTTTCCAGGTTTTTCCTGAACAGACATATCAGACACTATTTCCCTGGAGGAATCTAAAAAAGGACTTTACCTCAATAAATTTTAGAGTTACCAGCTCTAGAATGGTAAACAAACAAACAAACAAACAAAATTATATAAGTGCAGAATCAGTACAGAATAAACAACATTTCCTAGTGCAGTGAACTTTTAAACATCAGAACCTATATAAAATATATTAGAACATGTGCCAGTTTTAAAACCATGTTATTTCAGTCCTCAGCTGAGAAGAGCGCATGCGCGCGTGTGTGTAAGAATTAAAAACGTGCTTCAGGAAGACAAGAAAGTGACATTTTACCAGTTTAGAAGACCCTGTTGTCCAGATAAAATATTGTATTTACTTCATTACAGAAAGACTACATTAAGGAATGAAAGAGTAAGATAACTTATGGAAATAAAAGGAATATCAGATAATTTGTTTGGCCTAAACAAAAAAAGAAGCAAAGATTAGTTTTAAACCATCCTACTGGGTAACAGTGAAGCCAATGTAATCAGTATCTTATTTTTTGCAGCTGAGTAAGAAACGAAATAAATTTACTTTCTTGATGGTAAACCTTTTGAAACCTTGAAAATTTTTAAAACGTAAAAGAAGTAAACATAAAATTAAATAAACCATCTTCTTATGTTGTGTTGTTACAGTATCTTAAGTATTTTTTTTCAAAAACTGATTTCTAAATATAATGCAATATTACTGTTTTGTCCAATATATTATAGTCTCTCTTGCTCACATCTCCATAAAAAGACAGCAGGCAAATGCCAATGCATATGTACGTGCACGTGCATGCACACATATGGGCTGTACACTACCAAAGGTTTTACAGAAGTTTACATAGACTAATTTATTGGACCCAAAGCACTGCAAACTACAGTAGTCAATGACTACAGTTCCAAAGAAGTTACATAACCATAGGCAAGACAAATGAGACATCATAATTCAAGATCAGCAAAAGAGATGGGAAGGACATGGAGATAGCAGTAACTTGCTTAGTTAGGTAATTTGTAGGACTTATTTAAAAGGCCAGGTGAAGCTCTGCTGCCTGTTCAAATCTTGGCACTTCTATTCAAAACGCTGATTTCTGCGTAATGCCTCGGCCACTCTGGGATTCTAGTCTTTGATCAGGAAACAGCTCTATAAATTTAATAAAATTTATTTAGCAAAAACAGAATGGTGAACAATGTCATCTAGTGTATGATGACTTCTTTCAAATTGAAAGTTAGACAGTTTGAATACTTGAATTTATGATCTTCAATTTCTCCTGATTTAAATGAATGACCCTAATTAATGCAAACAAGTGCAACATCACAAATCTGTTTCAGAGTATTATGAATATAGCAAGTTGGAGATGCACCAAATCATCAGTTTGAACTACTATACAAATTTCCACATTGTGAATTCATTTCTTAGAATGAAAATTTTATCAAATTCAAGTTTTATAACAGCAAACGAAGGCAATTCAATGTCTCTGTTATTTATGGGCA